TTCGCTTCGTAGCTGACACGGTACAACACTTTTCTTTGGCTTACTTCACACGGTCAGTCATTTTGTTTACAAAGAAATGGTGTGCAATGCGCATGCGCTAGTAGAGGGAAATCCCTGAACAAAACGTTGGTCAGACAGGTAGAAATACCGATGATTATCTTAGATTTAATCATTTTTATGAATCTATTTCAGCCAAATCCGATCGTTATTTTCCATAAGGAGTCTCACCTGATATGTTTATGTAGTATTTGAAAAAAAGACAAAAAAATAGTTACTTCACCGTGATGCCCCTTTAAAACGTTACGCAATAAAATATACGGATTAGTTCCTGGCATACAAACATTTCATTTTAGTTGTTAAGTTGCAATGCGGAATTTAAATTTAGTTGCACAATTGCAAGATATCATTGTGTAAACATAGAAGTCGGCATGTATATAATGCTATTTTATTTACTTCATTCACAATATCAATTTCTATGAAAACTAAAGTATTACATCGAATAAAACCCATACAGGAACAGTTATTGGATTTAACCTTGCTACGCTTGCTTTGTATATCTAAATATGACATGGTTTGACAGAACATTGAACCCCACCTCTGTACATTCAAATACCTTCACAGCTCATTTGTCCTACTTACATAATCTAGACAATAGATTACCAAACTACAACGTAACGATTACTGCATGTGTCGTTATAGATATTCAACCGCAATTTGTGTATATCTTTCAATATAAACATATTCTGTTTTTAGACCTTTCTCATATTTCAGAGTGTTACGATGGATACTACGGACAAGCATGTACACCATGTCCTAGTGGCTGTAGCACTGACACTTGTGACAAAACGTCAGGACAGTGTGTTCGTAAGTAATATTTATTATCAACTTTCAGAAACCCAATGGGATGCTTACAAGGTTAAAATGGTATTTAACTCACTGGGTGGGAAGCTAAAACTTTACAATATAGTAATTAACGATCGAGGTCTATACAGTAGATGAACGATTGACAATTTTACACTACTAATAACGTATTTGTTTGCCTTTTACATAGTGTATCAATGATATAATGCTGAAGTGATTACTATGTATAAGAAATTTCATCAGATTATATAACTGAGTAACAGAGTTGAGGTGCTACTTCACTACAGTTAACTGATCAAAAGGAGAAAATAACGATACGAAATCGTTAAGGCTGATACTACAACACTACCATTTATTAGTCTGTTTTTTTTTAAATTAATAAAAATGATAATACATTATTCGTGATAAATATCGGCAGAATGAAAGTCGTGAGATAAAAATGTTTCACATTGTTTGTACCTTCTTTCTTTTCAGAATGTGATGATGGCTTACATGGCAGATTCTGTCGCCAGCCGTGTCCTGCTAACTGTAAACACAACGTTTGTACCAAGGACAATGGTCATTGCATAGGTAAGACAAACCTCACACTTTCTATATGCATGCGCTGATGTATGCTCGAAATACACTGAACTAGATTTTTATTATACATAATCTGAAGCTGAGTAAAATCGGGAAATCTCAATCGAGGGTTAAAATTCTGACACTCCTAACATATTGGATTTCCTTTGACGTAGTTAATAAACGATATGTTATAGAAGTTGTTACAAAGTATAAGAAATCTAATTATATTATAACAAAGTTGAAGTGTTACTTTTCTATAGTTAATTGATCAATAGTACAAAAAAAACAATAGGAGAAAAACCTAAGTTGTCAAATAACGGTAAAAAACGTTCATCCCGATACTACAACACAAAGTTATGTTTTGACGACGACATGGTCAACTTATGTTTGTGGAATTATGAATATAATAATACAATGGTCACTACAAAGATAAGGAAACTGCTTTTGTTCAAGAATGTTTACATTACTTACTTAACCATGAAAAGTTAAGTAAAACATATATCAAAGTTGACCTACATAATTTTATATAAAATAATTCACATATTCTCACTGATATTAATGATATCTAAATAACATACAGTACAACAATGTAAAAGGAATAATAGACACAGGTACACAAGTGTACATACAAAGCCACGCCCTTCGATCAATATCGCATACGAACTGTATGTTTGTGAGAGCCATGTGATATTTTACTGGTGATTTTATTGGTTCATCGGATGACATATTGGCCTAATTTTCAGAATGCGATATTGGATTCTATGGTAATTTCTGTAACCTGCCTTGTCCTGATAACTGTAAAAACAACGTTTGTAACCAGGACAACATACAGTCAGTGCACAGGTAAGAAAAATGCTTTTTTTTTCATAAATTATTATCTTGCTCGTGGAATTTAAAACGTTGATGTATAATGTAATATACAAATTAACGATGGCCAGAAGATGTTTATGTAAAGAATTTTACATATTCACACTATGATATAAATGCGAGCGTTATTATTATTTATTTCCATTTGCTCTGTATTGTCACTATAAAACCTTACCAAAACAAAAATAGAAAGATATCAGATCATAATTCTCACATAATTTCCATTGGTGTAGTGATATATAGAACATGTTCGTGACGACGGGGTAACCCATCCGTGCTACCGGGTTAAAACAACATTTGACTCGCAACAATTTATAAAGTTATGTTGTATAAAAGGTAAATATCCTCACGGTGAAATATATTGATTAAATTGTTGAAATTATATTGATGATTTTGTGTTTATTTCCACGAATTGTCCGCAAAAGCTTGATAAACGCAGCTATGTTAATGCAAGTAGAAAAGTGTCAGGCGTTATTGTAAGAAAATGATTTCAGACTGTAATGATGGATACTACTGTACACCATGTCCTATTGGCTGTAGCACTAATACTTGTGACAAAACGTCAGGATAGTGTGTTCGTAAGCTGTATTAAGTATCAACGTTCAGAAAGTCACTTGGATGCATACAAACTTAAAATGATATCTAATTTACTGGGTCGAAAGAACAAAACTTTACAATATAATGATTCACGATCGAGGTCTTTCCAGCAGCGCACACGTATTTGATGAAGGGTTGACCATGCTACACAACTTATAACGTATATGTTTCCATTTCAAAGAGGTTATCAATGATATATTGCTGAAGTGATTACTATATATCAGAAATGTCACCAGTTGAAGTGTTACTTGTTTACAGTTAGGTGATCAACACTACAATTTATTAGCCTGTTTTTGAAATAATAAAATGATAACACATTTTTCTTAATAAATATCACCTAAATGAAAGTCGTGTAATCAAGTTGTTTCATGCTGTTTTGTTTTCTTTCTATATCAAGAATGTGATGCTGGATTCTATGGCAGTTTTTGTCGCCAACCTTGCTCAGTTAACTGTAACAACGTCTGTAACAAGGACAATGGTCTTTGCATAGGTAAGATAAACTTACAATATGCATGCACTGTTTTTTGATAGAAATACACTGAAATAGACTTTAACAATCCATAAAATTATAACTGATTCAATCCAGTACTTAAATAAAGTGATACTAGTCCAACCTAACAGCTGTGAGACCCTACAATGCACCAACAGACAGCGTGGGCACACCGTCCACACACGGTGCTCACAGTCGTATCATGCAGCAATCGATCACTCCGTTGTGGGCTTATGTCCGCAGAGAGGTGCAATTTAGTACAATTGGTTCTGATCAAATTTATTCGATGAAAAAATGCGTATTGCATGAATTTGCTACGATGGCTGACAAGAGCCTGGCAAAAAGATGTGAATTTTCATATCTTTTTGTACCATGGTACACATTTATATGGTACACAGATATTAAAATTCAAATCTTTGTTTTCCATGTAAAAGTGTACCATGGTACACAAAGATATGAAAGCAGAAATAAAATCAACCTGTTGCTTTTGTATCATTCTGTACTAAAATAACGGCCGAAAACAGCCATGGTTCAGAAACATGTGAAACCATAAGACGAAAAGGATACCAAGTATGACAAATTATACCCCGATAAGGCTGTCATCACATACAATGAAATGTTATCGCACGGAATGTCTGTTATTTTTATTACACCAAATGAGCTACCAAACTATTACTTACTCATTTAAATTGAAATCAACTATTCATTAAATATCCTTTACCGAATTTTATAAATGTTTTATGTTAAAAAGGAAGTCATTATGGATTATTATTCTAATACTTACAAAAATGTATATTTATAATGTATTCTATCTGCTTCAACTTCTCAAATGAAAGAAACTCCAAATCAGTTGAAAACGCCGACGGGGTCCGTAGGGGATAAGGGGACAATCAATTTAATTACTTCGAAGGATAGTCTACCTTTTTATATTTTTTTGGGGGAAATACGATGAGCTAGTTGTACGATTCTTATTTAATCTGGACATCTATCAAAACAAGGGAAACGACAATTTTTTTTAGATGTCCTTTATCCCTTTTGGAGACCCTGTCAAGGCCCCTATACTTACACAATTGCAACTAACTCTGTTTTTCATCAGAAGTGATTAATGAACTTCACGACTTGTTTCGACGTTGTGATTAGGGCTTCACTATTCGGGGTCAGTTCTGGTCATAGTGTCCGATAACAACATTCTGATGCTCTGGTGGTACACTTTTTTCATATCTATTTGTACCGTTCGTGGTACAAAAAGAAATGAAAAAAGTGTAACGCGGTACTAAAAGGAGAGAAGCTTTCATATCTTTTTGTACCGCGCAAACGTGTACCACGGTACGGAAAGATATGAAAAAAGTGTAACGCGTGATTTCATGGTACACTTTTTTCATATCTATTTGTACCATAGGTGGTACAAAAAGAAATGATAAAAGTGTAACGCGGTACTAAAAGGAGAGAAGCTTTCATATCTATTTGCCGGTTGATATCGGCTGTTGGTACATATACATGTGAAAGTAAAGAGTGCTTTTGTAAAGTTATTTATAATCTTTATGTACCATGGTACACAAAGATTTGAATTTTCATATCTTTGTGTTCCATGGTACACTTTTACATGGTACACACAGATTTGAATTTTCATATCTTTGTGAACCATATCAAAGTGTACCGTGGTACAAAAAGATATGAAAGTTCATATCTTTTTGCCAGGCTCGTGTCGGCCATCGTAATTTGCAGTATCACAAATTTAAAAATGTCAAGAAAGGGGCCTGACTCCTAGGTCACAGAACAGGCAAATAACACATGGATGAGAGACTGGTAAGTTTGCCTGGCCCACACCGGAGACAGAGAGTGATATACTGTTTGACTGTTATGTTAACACAACTGGATCTCATACGTTTGTTGATAGCGTTTGGGTCGATCTATAGTTGTTCTGAGTTGGACACCGCCGGAATTTTTTACATCTGGGCAAATAACTTAAGTGTTCCTAGTGTCGGGAAATCTCCGGAGGGTGTACATGCTGATGGCAAATATGTTTACCTCTGTATGTGTATGGGGCCTTGCCCAACTGTGTATTAACACTTGTCGATTAATGTCCAATTTTGATAAACATGATATTTATAATCAACCTTCAGAAAGCCAAGGGGGTGATTACATGGTTAAAATGATATCTAATTTACTAGGTCGGAAGACAAAACTTTACAATATAATGATTTACGATCGAAGTCTTTCCAGCAGCGCACACTTATGTGATGAAGGGTTAACCATGTTACACAACTTATAACGTATATGTTTCCATTTCAAAGAGGTTATCAATGATATCATTGCTGAAATGATTACTATATATCAGAAATGACATCAGATTATAACAGAGTAAACAGAGTTGAAGTGTTACTCGTCTACAGTTAAGTGATCAACACTACCATTTATTAGTCTGTTTTTGAAATAATAAAATGATAACACATTTTTCGTGATAAATATCGGCAAAGTATTACATTGTTTGGCAGAACATTGAACTCCACCTATATATATTTAAATCCCTTCACAGCTCATTTGTCCTACTTACATAATCTAGACAATAGATTACCAAGCTGCAACGTAACGATGACTGCTGGTGTCGTTATAGATATTCAAACGCAGTTTGAGTATACTTTTCAATATATACATGTTCTGTTAAAACATTTATCATATTTCAGACTGTAATGACGGATACTACGGACCAGCCTGTACACCATGTCCTAGTGGCTGTAGCACTAACACTTGTGATAAAACGTCAGGACATTGTTTTCGTAAGAAGTATTTATTATCAACTTGCAGAAAGCCAAGGAGATGCTTAAAATGTTAAAATGATATTTGACTCACTGGGTCGGAAGATAAAACTTTACAATATAGTGATTCACGATCGATGCCTATCCAGCTGCGTACAGTGATATGATGAAGGATTGAACATCTTACACTACAAATAACGTATATGTTTCCATTTCAAATGAGTTTATCAATAATATATTGCTGAAGTGATTACTATATATCAGAAATGACATCAGATTATAACAGAGTAAACAGAGTTGAAGTGTTACTTGTCTACAGTTAAGTGATCAACACTACCATTTATTAGTCTGTTTTTGAAAAAATAAACATTTATCGTGATAAATATCGGCTGAATGAAAGTCGTGTAATCAAGTTTTTTCATGTTGTTTTGTTTTCTTTTTATATTCAGAATGCGATACTGGATTCTATGGCAGTTTTTGTCGCCAACCTTGCTCTGTTAACTGTAAAAACAACGTCTGTAACAAGGACAATGGTCTTTGCATAGGTAAGACAAACTTACAATATGCTTGCACTGATGTAGGATAGAAATACACTGAAATAGACTTTAATGCTGATGGCAGATATGTTTACCTCTGTATATGTATGGGACCTTGCCGAACTGTGGATAAGTGTCCATTTTTAATAAACATGATATTTATAATATCAACTTTCAGAGAGCCAAGGGGGTGCTTACAAGGTTAAAATGATATCTAATTTACTAGGTCGGAAAATAAAACTTTACAATATAATGGTTCACGATCGAAGTCTTTCCAGCAGCGCACACTTATGTGATGAAGGGTTAACCATGTTACACAGCTTATAACGTATATTTTTCCATTTCAAAGAGGTTATCAATGATATATTGTTGAAGTGATTACTATATATCAGAAATGTCATCAGATTATAACTGAGTAACAGAGTTGAAGTGCTACTTGTCTACAGTTAAGTGATCAACACTACCATTTATTAGTCTGTTTTTGAAATAATAAAATGATAACACATTTTTCGTGATAATTATCGGCAGAATGAAAGTCGTGAGATAAACATGTTTCACATTGTTTGTACCTTCTATCTTTTCAGAATGTGATGATGGCTTACATGGCAGTGTCTGTCGCCAGCCTTGTCCTGCTAACTGTAAACACAACGTTTGTACCAAGGACAATGGCCATTGCAAAGGTAAAACAAACCAAACTTTATATATGCATGCACTAATGTGTGCTAAAAATATACTGAAATAGACTTTTACCATACATAATCTGTAACTAAGTAAAATCGGGAAATTTCATTCGAGGGCTAAAATTCTGTGACATCATTCCAACCTTACAGTTGTGATACGTATAACGCATTTGTTTCCCTTTTACGTAGTTTATTAACGATACATCGTTGAAGTTGTTACAATGTATAAGAAATCTCATTATATTATAACAAAGTAACAGGTTTGTTGAAGTGTTACTTTTCTACAGTTAATTGATCAATAGGAAAAAAACGTAAGTTGTCAAATAACGATAAGAAATCGTTTATCCCGATACTACAACACGAAGTTATGTTTAGACGACGACATGGTCAACTTCTATTTGTGAGTCCGCTTTAGAATTATGAATATAATAATACAAAATACAATGGCCACTGCAAATGTAGGGAAACTACGTTTGTTAAGGAATGGATAACTTACTTATTTAAAGATGGAAAGTTAAGTAAAATGCAGATTTAAGTTGAGTTATATTATTTATTGTAACATAATTCACATATTCTCATTAATATTAATGATAATGCTTTCATAATATCTGAAAAACATAAAACAATGTAAAAGGAATAATAGACACAGGTACACAAGTGTACATACAAAGCCACGCCCTTCGATCAATGTCGCATACGTACATTGGCTTCTACGGTAATTGCAACCTGCCTTGCCCTGTTCACTGTAACAACAATGTTTGTAACAAGGACAACGGTCAGTGCACAGGTAAGAAAAATACTTTTCTTCAATGATTATTATCTTGCTCGTGGAATTTTAAACGTTGATTTATAATGTAATATACAAATTGACGATGGCATTTTTACACAGAATTTTTCATATATTCTCACTGTGATATAAATGCGAGCGTTATTATTATATATTTCCATTCGCTCTGTATTGTCACTATAAAACCTTACCAAACAAAAAAAGAAAGATATAAGATCATAATTCTCACATAATTCCCCTTGGTGTAGTGATATGAAGAACATGTTCGTGACGTCGTGGTAACCTATCCGTGCTACCGGATTAAAAAACCGAATTGATCAATGTAACTCGCAACAATTTATTTAATTGGCCAAAAGATGTTTATGTAAAGAAGTTTACATATTCACAATATGATATAAATGAGAGCGTTATTATTATATCGAATCGTAGCATACAACAATATAAATGAAATAATAGAGACAGGCTTACAACTTTGCATATACGAACCACGCCCTTCAATCGGTATCTCATACATATGTAATAAATGTTTTACATTGTTTTACATATAACTACATCATTGTTTTACATTGTTTTACATATCACCACCTCATTCTTCATCTTGTAAGAAGCATACATTGTTTTACATATAACTACATCATTCTTCATCTTGTAAGAAGCATACATTGTTTTACATATAGTTACATCATTCTTCATCTTATAACCAGCGTACATTGTTTTACATATCACCACCTCATTCTTCATCTTATAACCAGCATACATTGTTTTGCATATAGCTACATCATTCTTCATCTTGTGAGAAGTATACATTGTTTTACACATCACTACATAAGTCTTCATCTTGTAAGAAGCATACATTGTTTTACATATAGCTACATCATTCTTCATCTTGTAAGAAGTATACATTGTTTTACACATCACTACATAAGTCTTCATCTTGTAAGAAGCATACATTGTTTTACAAATCACTCATTCTTCATCTTGTAAGAAGCATACATTGTTTTACATATAGCTACATCATTCTTCATCTTGTGAGAAGCATACATTGTTTTACACATCACTACATCATTCTTCATCTTGTAAGAAGCATATATTGTTTTACATATCACTACATCATTCTTCATCTTATAACCAGCTTATATTGTTTTATAATTACCACCTCATTCTACATCTTATAACCAGCCTACATTGTTTTACATATAGCTACATCATTCTTCATCTTGTAAGAAACATACATTGTTTACATATAACTACATCATTCTTCATCTTGTGAGAAACATACATTGTTTTACACACCACTACATTATTCTTCATCTTGTAAGAAGCATACATTGTTTTACATATCACTACATCATTCCTCATCTTATTACCTGCATACATTGTTCTACTTATTACTTAGAATCTACATCATTCTACTTCATTCTTATTACCGGTATACATTGTTTTTTATTTTGTAAATTGTCATCAGATTGAAATAACAAAAAATCAGTACAATGAATATTCTTGCATTCCATGTAAAATTTATAGTATTTCCTTTTCATTCAAATCATCACAAAGGCAATTCATTCACTAATTATTTTTATTATTCAGAGAATGTAAATTTAAAAAGACTCTGTACAATATACAAAAACTCATCCTATCACAAACAAATCTTTTCGTACTTATTTATTACAGGATTAACATAATTGTATTTGTATTAATTATAGTTGTGTTTTCAATGAATGAACTAAAGCAATGAATGTATGATTTTGTCTGTTTGCACTTATTATATTATCCGCTGTATTTTTCAATTGGTTTGTTATCCCATTAAATAATGATAGTGGAGTTTGATCTTCATTTTCAAATTTCTGTAGATTTCTTAGACTGAAATATGATTAGATTACATAGTTTATTTATATTATTATTATATTCTGAGACACCAAGGATTCTTTCCTTTTCTGTTAAACTAATATGTACATTGCTTGTTGCTAGACATTCATTTATTAATTGTTCTATCCTGAACCAAATTGTTTCACCTGCACCCACTTAAACGATGTTGTTGGGTTTCATGTACTTATTTACAAAAGTGACACAGACCATTTTATTTCTGCATTTGTTTAAGTCTATATTCAGTGGTTAAAATTCTGTGTAGGCTTCTCCGCTGAAAATCCTTGATTTTCCTGTCAATTATAGTGTTATTTTTAGAAAGCCAGATGGCGTTCCAGTTTAATGCAATAATATCATTCCATTTCTGAAGGGATTTCATCTCTTTACTATTTTGATACAATATATATTTAATTATTTTGTTAAAACACTTGTACATGGCTAAAATGCTGTTTTTATAAGTGAAAACTAAGTCATCTGATATTTTAAAGGCCCTAATAATGTTTTCATTATTATTCTGTAGTATGTTTTTCCTCCCTGACGGAAGGGCCCCTCTGATTTTTGTGAATTCCGATATCGATTAATTTTTACTTTTTAACTTTTTCAGTAATTGTTCTGATGAAATAAAGTTATTTTGTTCAACAATCCAGATATGTTTTATCTTTGTTATTCCACTACTTGCCCAATTTTTGAAACAAAGTGGACTATTTTTGAATAATAAATTATGATCCAAATAAGTTTTGGTTAAGGACATCTTCTGCACTGCTTATAGATACTTTTTTTGGCAGTTTTTGCCAATGCCAAATTCCCTCCCGATAAAAAACCCGGAATTTTTTTCAACACGAAAATATGAGTGTTGCTGCATCTACATCAGAAATAATTTGTTTTGTAAGCTCTGTCATAACTTTGCAGAACGAGTTTACCTAGTATGTTCCACGTCTGTATTTCACTATAAACTACTCTATATATTAGTTTGATTCTATTCATTGTAACAATTATCTCTATATAAGTCATATTAAACCCTCCCTGTCCTGTTTCTAAATAAACAGTTTCTTTTGCCACCTTTTTTATTTTACTACCCTAAAGAAATTCATATATTAATTTGTTTATTTTTTATAAATATTCTTCAGGTATGGTGTTTTGTGCTAATTTATAAATTAACTGAGGAGAGCATAGTAGGGATTTGATTATCAAAGTTTTCCCTTCTAATGACACATTTCTTACTTTCCATGAATTGATTATGTTTTCATTTTTTTAAATTTTACTCTCCCATAGCCTTGTTTTATCTAAACTTTATCCATAAAATATTCCTAACACCTCGATATTGTCTCTGACCCATGATATATCTGTATAGTTTGGGTGTCTTTGCTTCCATCTGCCTATGTACATACCCTTTGTTTTCTTTTTATTTACCCGTGTACCTGATGCTTTCTCATATTTTTCTAAAAGCTTGAATAAAAACGGCAGTGAATTTTCTTTACGTAGAAACAGTTGTGAATCATCTGCAAACATGCTTATTTTTTTGTTTCGATTTTGATATTATTTACTTCTGGAAGGTCAATACCTATTATATTTTTATCTTTCCTTATGGAGCAAGCATGCGCCTATGCCTGAATTATATATAAAATTTGTGCCAAAGGGCCAAAGCGCGCGGGGTCTTAATGTGGGAGGAAACCGGAGTACCCAGAGAAACGTGGTCGGGCAGAGGACCCCATACCTTTTCATGTTCGATCGGGGAATCGAACTCCGGCCGACTTGGTGAAAGACAAGTGCGGTATCCACTGAGCCACCCGACCACCCTTTGTTACTCGCTTTCTTTTTCCTTCTAAAAACACACAAATCCGCGTTACAAGCAATTCAAGGTTCATTATTTCACAGCACTTCCATTTTCCGTTGTAGTATGTGTAGCTGGTTTTCACGGCAGCCAATGTTTGAAATCTTGTGGTAAATGTCAAGGTATGAGTTGTGACAAGGACACGGGGAACTGTGCGACAGGATGTCCGGATGGATGGACAGGAGACACGTGTGATACCAAAGGTGTTACTTATGTTACATTCCTTACAATAAATTTACATATCTATTCATGAAATTTCCCTTCAAAAATGGGGAAAATGAAAATAATAAAAAAATAAATAAAAAAAGTAATATAAGGGGAAAAATCTCTAAACAAACATTAAAATAATATTACATAATACTATGTTCAAAGAATGATTTCTTAAAATATAAAACGATATATTACTAATGCAAATGTTTCATTTGTTATAGAAATGAATGAGGATGCTGCAGTCGGGGTAGGCGTCGGGTTAGGAGTAGTTATACTGGCTCTGGTCTTCGTGATCATAGCACTGGTCAGACGTCTGACGATGAAGGGAGGTGACACAACAAAGTCTACACATATGACAGATATTTCATCGTCGAGAACTGCAAATGAGCTAAATGAAGACCAAGGTAAATACTGTGTTCCGGTAAAATGACATTAAGTAATGCAAAAAGCAGAAAATAATCCGTTTTGGTGTTTTGCAAATTAGAAATGGCTTTCCCGATTCCGCTATATTTGTATTAATATATATATATATATAAGTACAAGTTCTTTATTTGCTGAAGTTTAAGACACTCACAAGGACACACTCACGCTGACTCACACACATCATCCTCATCATCATCAAGGAACTCATACTAACTCGCAAACATCATTCTCAGCATCATCCTCATTGTCATCCTCTTCTTCACATAGATCTATGTCACAAAAGAAAAAACAAAAAAATATCAATATTTAACATTAGAAGCAAAACATTACATCAAAGACGCCTACGATGATCAAAACACGTTTCGTAACAGGAAATCAAGATACGTTAGTGATTATACAATTTGCCTACCTTCACCTAGCTGAAAACGGTATTCCGTCTTTGCGTATTACAGAGTTATCTTCTCTTGAGAGCAGGTATTGATTGTTACGTCATTGGTTTGTGTGAGAAAATTACGTCGTTTTCTCATAAATTGATGACGTTACTTTCACAAACAAATGACGTAACAGTCAGTACCTGCTCTCAAGAGAAGATAACTCTGCAATACGCAAAGACGGAATAAGGATATCTCAGTCTCACGGCCTATAAGCTCACTAATATCATTTCAGACACGAAATCTGAAAGAAATTAATATGTTGTATTGCATTTTTCAGATGATAACTATGACGACATAGCAAATTACAACCAGGAACAAATCATTGTGCAGATCTCCAACACAGAGGGAAGTTATGAACAGCTTGGACGTAGGGAGGTGGAAATTCCACATATATATGAGACTATAAACGTTGACAGGAAAAGACGATGCACCTTGTAAACTGGACAAAATGTTACCTTACCACATAAAGAAGATGGCGAACATTTTCATTTTGTTTTGTTTGAATGAGTTCGGCTCCTTATTTATCAGAATATAAATATTAATAAAGTTGAACTATTAATATGAAGAGTTCACAGAGCACTGAACAATATAACAGTGTTTGATAAGAGTCACTACAGGGGGCTGGTGACAATCACGAGACTTCCATATTTATATAGACAGAGAGTAATGTGTTAAACCATATCTGTATTTTTTGGGGCCAAAAGAAGTTTATTCGACGCTTTAATACAATAAGCAGGTTTTAGACTGCAGTTTTTAATAGTTATTTTCGTGAAATATTTCACCATCACAATAATTAAGCTGATTGGTATAACAAGGCTTTGGACATTTATATGCAGGGTAAGTAATATGTTGACAATTATCCAGAATCTGAACAACTATTTCTTTGGAGTAATCGTGATTGTGATGAACCTCGAACCTGGAAACAATTGAAACAAAATATGTACATAACATAAACCTTCAGGTTTATTTAGGTATGTGTATCACTTGCTGTGCTACATGCTAAGGTTTTTAAATTTCTAAGATGTGATTCAGTGCGATCTTGTAGAATCTTTATCGAATTGCATAACGCTTATTTCAAATATATAATCAATAGGTAATGTTGCTGTTTTCTGACAGCTCTTGTTATGTAACATATGTATGCATACATTGTTTATATCATCATTTCCGTCGATACATTTTATCGCGTCAAATACCCTTGAATAATCGTTGCGAGTGCTTTGTTTTAATTGTTTGTATGTAAAAAATATACTTTGTTTATATCCCTAGTGGCATTTTGTGTATATGTTTTGCTTTTTGACTTAATTGTGTATTTTTGCTTTGAACATATTTAGAACGGTATTTTGCATTATTCTCAAGTTATTAATTTCAACCATAGAGCCCACAGATAAACGTTTTCCATCAAATATCAAATTTGCCTCACTAATTATAAAGTGTAATGTTGGTGGATGTAATTTGTTAATCCCAACATTTTACACTGGGGTGCTATTTGTCATTCCTTATATGTTAAAATATTTCGGTCGAGATGATTTTTAAGTTTTGGTGAGCTTTACCTATATGTTTGTGTATCAAGGGGTATTTTATAGCTGATATATACAATAAATTAAAATAATATTAATTGTATAACTGGGGAAATACGTTAAGGATTATCAAACCACTTCCAAACAACAGTAAATATATCTATATATTGGAATATTGTAGCATGCGTTTCCAGTGGGTAACAGCCAGTTTTGTTTACAAAAGGGCACCGTTGTTAAATTCAACTTGTTTAAATAACATGTGAATTGCATTTAATGTTGGAACACATTGATTCAGCAAATAAGCTAAGTTTGCGGGCACTTGATATGCGTCATCTTATTAAAAGCAATGCTGAATGCAGCTATTCCACTGAAGACATTCGTTTTGTCTACGGAGGGTTCCGGAAATAATTTTGTTACAATAACGTCTGACACTTTTCTACTTGCGTTAACATAACTACATTCATCAAGCATTTGTTGGTTCGAAGTGACATGACACTTGGGAGGTCACGTGATGGTCTAGCTAGGACGTACCGTGGTTCAGGGGAGATTTTTTACTCGTTTTTATTAAGTTTGATGAACTAATTCAATGTGAAATTAGTGGCTGGTTTGACAATTTGGAATTCACAACGGATAATTTTATTCCTTGAAAGTGTTTGTTTCCTAAATCTTGAGTTTGGAGCCTTGGAAATTTTTGTAGTGGACAATGTCACTCAAAGGTATGTGTGGAGACCAGTCCATTTCATCGCTACAGGTAAGCGAACCTACTAGCACACCTGGCCACATCACTCATGACGTGGCAATTAATTTCAGCACGCCTCTATCCAATAATAGATCCAAACGACAAAATTTAGAAATTTCTCCTGATATCTCCCTACAGGCAGAACCTAAAAAGGCAATGAACGATAGTCCACCCCACAAACATGCTTCAATCAACCATAAAACTGTCTTTAAACTTCTGTGAATAGAAACATTTGGAAACAACACGAGGCAGGTTGCATCGTCATTTGTCGGTAGTCCGTGTTGGTTGTTTGGTGATGTGGATGTTTCCCTCAATGGTGTCTACCACTGTCAGTATCATTGGATGTGTGGAACACGATCTCTGTACTGTATAGAAACAGAGTTTAAACTGAGTTGAACCAAAGTGCTAATAATTATATCAACAATATGTCAATTACTTTGAAAAGTCCATTGTATGCAATGCCTACGTAGTAATTAGTAGTTACATAGATCATGATCAATTGCTTATGGAATGACGACACTTGTTGAATGCGTAAACTGAGTAATTCATAAGCTATGTGTACAACCAACCTAGCTAAATGCGCGTGTTACTTGATAATATGACCAATTATAGTATTGTCCTAAAAGCTGTTCATGTGCATTAACTGACGTCAATATCAAGCGCAAAGCTACGGAGTGTTGCTGAACGACCACTTGTGTACAGCATTGCCCAAGTCGGCACAACCAAATACAGCATTGCTCGGGCGCCTGTGAAAGTGGCGCTGCTTTTGGTGCTGGCGTGTGACAGCGATACATCTGTCTAGAAATATTGTGATTAAACATCGTCTTTTACAGTATCGCCTTCGATTAGAATAAAATGGTTGCAGTGTACCACTTATAAAGTTTCTGTACTTAAATGTACTTATAAAGAATATGTTTTTGTGTAACTATGCTTTACACCTTGTTGGGGACAAGATCATATATCTGATATATGTACAAATGTTGTTTTATTATACCGCTCAGTAACTTATATAAATGAAACTGTTTCGTTATGTTAGTGTATGATAATGTTAAGAAATACCATTTATTTTTTGCGGTATATTAATGCTATTATACAATAGTATACAGTGATATAGCATTGATAGTTCCGTATATAGCTGGTATTGTGTGATATTGTATAGTAACAAAACTGAAATGTTACTGTATATTGTGTTATTAAGACAATTTACAGTAACAAAACTGAAATGTTACTGTAAAATGTTGTTATATGATATTGTAGAGAAACACAACTCAAATGCGCCTGTATATTGATTTAATTTGATATTGCATAGTAACAAAACTGAAATGTTACTGTGCATGTATATTGATGTTAAATGATATTTTACTGTAGCTTAACTGAAAAGTTACCGTATAATGATGTCATATATTTTATGGTATATGATATGTTAACTGTTATACAATGTTACTGGATATTAACTTGACAGTCAAAACAAGTAACAGTAAATAGGTCACTTAATCTACAAGTATGTGTAAGAACATGTTAGGGAAACTATTGAAAACGTGTGTCCAGTGTTTTTAATTTATTTCTGTTATGGAATGTGTTATATATTATTTGTTTGAATCGAATGTGAACGCGTGGAAGATAAAAGATAGGTATGAATGATTTAATTTTGTGTGAGGCTGACGTAAGGTGTGAAAAATGTAATCAGTCAATGAATGGTTTTGTTATAATTTATTGAAAGTTGCTTTGCATATTAAAATCTGCGAATAAATATCAATATTGGCTTTCGTTTTGAATTTCCGCGACACAAATCGTTGAGTAAATCCTGTTCCTCAATAATCTGTAAAACGTCTTCCTGCAGCCATTTTATGTTTATATTTGTTTGCCCATAAACACGAGCAATACAGGTGAGTATAACTGGGTGAACTCTGCATTAAGTTAATTAGCTTTGTCTAGATCAAACGATGAGATCTTGAAAATATGTCTGTTTACAGTAACACAGAATTTCGATGATTCTTAAATTGAATCAACCATTGATAAAAAGCAAATATTTGGGTCAGTCGATCACTCTTCTCTTAGATAGACAGTGCTTTACTGGATATATAAAATAGGGGTATGTGCTGATATCCTTATTGGAAAAGACCAGAAGAAACAAGGTTTTTGTCAAACACAAAAACTGTCGTTGTGTCTGAAAGTAATTATTGATCATTACTGACAAGTAGTTGATTTACAGTCTGTTGGATGGATGAACTATTTTATCATCTGGGATTATATAATTTGGGTTGTTCAACATATCGTCCTTGGCAATGCATTTCGGGTTATTCGACTTGTCGTCATAGACAATGTATTTAACCCTTTCACCCCTAGGTAACTTTAGTGGACTCTACCTTGCATTTATTGGGATGAGTCCATTATGGCCTACAGTTGTGAAAGGGTTAAGGTTATACAACCTGAACGCCTGTAAACCCGTTCTTCAGTTCCAATATGCTGTCATTGACTCTTCTATCTAGAAAACTATTCAGGATCGTATACAATGGTATGTGTCCTCTGATTTTAAAATTTATAAGTGTTTTAAGATCAAGTTTTTTTGACATTCTTCTTAATAGTTCCTAAACTTTCTTAAAAGTTCTTTGTTTAAGTGTTCAGCTATTTCATCATGTATTTTGTATCAGTTCCATATACAAGCAGCATCCGTCTGTATATAATCAGGTAGCAGTATACAGTAGCGTACGGTGACCATGGGTGATATTTTTTGTACAATGAATAACCCCTGTTATATTAGCCAGCACTAAAATTGGCATGTACTTGATGAAATGGACTATGTGGGCTTCATAATTTTTCAAGATTTTTTTGATTTTTTTGGTTTGAGACTACAGTTTTTTGCCATTTGCAAATCTGTGTCAAAACAACAAGAGCTAGTTTTTCATGACCTTTACTAAAATGTGAGTATTTCTGTTACCGAGTAGGTGATATTTGGTGTTTTTTTATGTGGTAACCAAGGTTTTCACTAGTCCGAAATCTGGGGAAACATTTCATGAAAAAAATTCATTCTTCTAAAAAAATATATTCAATATTATAAAGTTTATAAATACACTGTATATTATATATGTGTGTAGGTGTGTTGTGTAGAATGAATCCACTATTTATGTTTATCTGAGACATGCCCTTTAAGTTTTGGATCAGGCCATTTCTACTCTACTCTGCTATCTCAATGTACATATATGCTCGCACTAA